TGTTTGTCAGTATTAAGTGTGCCAAGGGATTCTGTTGTTTTTGTTCTTAGTGTGTTTTTTTCTCCTTATGTTCAGATGAAAATGCGTACATATACACTTTGTTGAGATCTTCCAATGTATCATATTTTAATTTAAGGACTTCCAAAGATACACTTATTAAAAGGTTTATTTCTCATACAGTACTTTAAAATTAGTATTTAGGGCAGTGTTGCACAACAAAAAACAAGGATACTATCAGATAAGCATAGAACAGTATGAGAAAGTAAATATCGGAAAATAAACAGCATGTAAAGAGTAATAAAAGTCATTTTCAACAGGAGGCCTGTGAAAATCAAAATATTTTGGCCTGGTGCTGAAAAAATAGTAAAGCTGAATACAGTTGCATTATTTCTTCTCGTTACTAGTACAGCTCAACCATTAGGCAATTTAAGGCAGCCTCTACACACTGATACCAGGTGTGAAAACTGACTGAAATTAACAAAGATAAGCAGTCCTGCCCAAGAAGCTCAGGAGTTGTGCAACAAATATCTTCTTAGTTATCTTGCCCAGGAAGGGAATATTAGTAACAGGTTAATCGATTTTCCAGTTTTACACTTAGGGTGGTTTTTCCAACAGTGGCCAAGAATGGTTGCAGTTATCACAATAGCTTGCATCTTTGGTTATTTTTGTCCATAACAATTGGTGCATAAATTGAAGGAACAGTTAATGTGGGAGGGCAGTATCAAGGTGAGTTTCAAAAACATGTGTCTTTACCTCATGCTGAACCATTGGAACAGAATGGGACTGCTCCCCTGTGACCTAACACATGTCCTGCTAGAGCTGACAGAAGATGTCTCTGCTTTCATGTTGAGGTCCTCCAGACATGTGCTTCTGGGAAACTTCAACATGCATGCTGAGACACAGTTGTCTGGGGCAGCTCTGCAGTTTATGGATGCCATGGCAGCCATGGGCCTGGCCTGCATTCCTCTGGGTCTATTCATGCTGCAGGTCACACTCTAGACCTGGTGTTCACTTCAAGGCAGGGAGAGGATAAGCTGAAAGTGGTGAACCTTGAGTCTTTTCCTTTGCAATAATTAGGTTATCCCTTGCTGAGATTTAGACTCTGGACAACTGTACCCCTCCATGGGGATGAGGGAGCTATTAATATGGTCCTCCCCAAAGACTGATGAACTTTATTGGTTTCCAAAATGTCTTAGGGAGCTTTCTGGCTGATATGATGGCACTCCTGTCAGTGTTGTTGTCAATTGTCAAGGTGACTCAAGCTGTACACAGCATCACTCCTAATCAATGTACCCTCTAATTTTCAGTGCCACTGGGTGGGGCTCTACCTCTCGTGCACGTAGCTTTGCCCCTGCGTGTGCATGCAACTGTGTCCCCTGCACGCTGGGTTCCATTGTGACCGTAACCTAATACGATCACTGTACGGATGAGGAAGATAGCAATGTGGAGGGAAGCAGAGTTGTGTGTGTGTATGCACGCACACACACCCAGCTTAGTGGGAACCTTGCTCGTAAACACCCTCTTTGCTGCAAAGCCTTCTCCGTGGTTTACAGAGCAGTTACAGATGATGAAGCAACAACAGAATTCTAGAGAGCAGGTAGCAGAAAACTCCCGTGGAGTTCAACCTGATGGCTGTAAGGGAAGCATCTGGAAGATATCAGAACAAACTTAAGGCCACTAAAAGAAGCTACTATTCTCATCTGGTTGAGGCAACTTCTAATCAGCAGGTAGAACTTTTCTGTTTCCATGGCCTTATTTCTTCCAAACAAAAACAATCTTTACACCCAAGTGTGGAGAACTGCAGCTGACTGAGAGCCCAATTTAGATCCAATATTGAAATCATCCATTGGGACCTTGACTCCTTGGTGATACCAGTAGATCTCTTAAAGCTTCCTTTTACTAGTGCTTTTTTCTGTCTGAGATGTTTGGCTGTTAATTTGTTTAATTCTGTTTAAAGATAGGTTTTAGTTAAGGACAGGAAGTTAACTATTTATGGTTTTTATTTTATGGTATTTTGGTTTTTCTAATTATAAGTTACTTCAGTATGTTGTGAACTGCCCAGAAGAATGTGTGCACTATGGTGTTGTTGAAATAATTAGTAAATAAATAAATTAAATTAAATTAAAAAACAAAGGGACAAATTTTCAGTTCCTTCTTCTTCGTCCCCTTTTCAACACATTTCATCTCTTTCGTTTCCTTTCATCAATCCCACCAAGCCAAGATCTACTACTGTAGTCTGCCTCCTCCAGGAAGGGGTCTCAGTTGGTTCAACTGCCTTTGACTCCTGTGTTCCACTTTAACTAGACTTCCTTTCTCAGTGTTGACAATGTGTTCACCACTCAGACCTTCTTCTTCTTCCAGGCTTCCAGAGAGCACCCTACTAACATGCGTTACAATCAATCTTAACAGCGCTTCATATTTGATGGCTTACAGTTTCTCCAATTTCTTGCTCAAAGATGGGATTTTCCTTTTGTTCTGTTAAGATATATTACACTGCTCTGCTTCACTATACTGTATGCTTCTTTACTGTTTGTTAAGCCCTTGGTGAAGATATCTGTGAAGGGTCTCCAGAGTTTTATTGCACAAGTTCTTCCTCATATCCTTGCCTGGTCACTGTCAGTAGTTCTTTTGCTGTTGATGCCCAAGTTCTTTGAACCACTGACAATGTGGGACTTCTAGCTTCTCTCCTGGAAAATGACATTTCTTGTTCCCATGCCTTCTATATGTGTGAATTGCACTCCAGTTGTGGTGCTTTTCCAATTTCAGGAGTTTGGGTTTGAAGCAGTATTTCTGAATACAATTTATAATGTGAAATCCATGAAATCCATAGAGAGGTTCCATTTCAGATGTGTTTCTCCAGGAGTAATTGAAGGAACTGTCCGTATTAGAGTTTCAGCTGGAAAAGTCTATGGTAGTAAATACTGTTTTTACTGTGCATAGTAGCAGTGACAGATTTAACAATAAATAAATGGTTGCAACTTAGATTTCCAAAAGAAGGGGAAAGGTTTTCCAGAATTTCCAAAATAAGGAAATTCAGAATGCAAATCAATCTCCTTCCTCACTCAAAATATGGACATGCTGATATACCTCCTTATACTTCTCCTGCAATCCCTCCCCTTTTTATATTTCAAAAGGTGAGGGGGCATATATTTAAAAACATGCACCCAGCACTTTCATAGAGCTTTTTGAACAGACAACTTTTCTTCCTCACATTGCCTATACCAAGGAAACAGTTTGGAATTTGGAAGATAGCTTTCTGGTCTGTATTCTGCAGAGTGGACATGGTAACCTTAGTTTACTTGAAAGGTTAGAGTGTGTGTATGTTTCTCTGTTTTCTATGTTGCACTTACACCTTCACTTCACCATTTCATTAAGTCCAAAAGAACCCTTCAAAATATTTTGGCACAGAGAGACTATAGCCATATCTTAGCTATTCTTGCTTCTTCCCTTCCTGAGTGACTGCATTACAGATTATGTGATCATCTTCTAGGAATTTCTAGCACTGGATAATTCTACATGAAGGAAGCTTCTGTTGGAAATTGTGTTACTCTTTACATAGCAAAGGGTGACAGCAGTAACAGGAATCAAGATGGTCTACGGCAGTGGTTCCCAACCTTTGGCCTCCAAATGTTCTTGGACTTCAACTCCCAGAAATCCTGGCCAGCAGAGGTGGTGAAGGCTTCTGGGAGTTATAGTCTAAGAACATCTGGAGGCCCAAGGTTGGGGACCACTGGTCTATGGAATACTGTCTTGTACTCACTACTGTTCACACATTGAGGTTGCCCTTCGCTATGGAAAGCTTGATATTCTTTTTCCTGCTTGTAACAAGGGCATGATATTGTGCAGCAATATCAGGCCGTTCCTGGCTTTAAAATCGTGGATACAGAAGCACAATATCAGACATTCATAAATCGAACTGTGGTTTATTGTTGTTGTTTTGAAGAATTGAATCTGTCATACAGCAGTAATAACTAGGGCTGGGACTTTTGGAAAATAATAATTCCAGTCCCTTAATTTGGCAAGAACTCCTAAGGCTGAACTATGGGACAGGGAGCTGTCAAGTGGCAGGAGGTAAAACGGTCCTCTTACCTCCACTCCCTTTCTGTGCCACTTCATCCTCTGCAGTTTGCTCCAATGCAGCTTTGTGAGTCACAAGAATTCTCTTGGACTTGCAAGGGTGCATGGGGTAATAGGTCCAGTGGAGGCTGCTTCCATACACTCTTTATTGTTTTTCTGAATAAAACAATCACCTCTGTGTGTATGCATGCACATGTGTATGTTTGTGTTTAAAGAAGCGTGTGAATACTATAGACTTATATTCTGTGTTCTGTTTTAGGGGAGGTACAATGTGGTGTGGCTGCTTTGGGTTCTTTTGGCTACCTTGGGTTCTTTTTAAGGCGAAAAGTGGGATAAAATATTTTAAATAAATAAATAAAATATAGTTGGGTGTGGGTGAATGTCTGATACTTGTGCACTTTTGTACTTCTAAGATATTGAGCATTTGGCAGAAAAAACATAATATCAACATCTGCTGAATGGTTAGCCTAGTTATAATACTGGCATACTGTTCCATGTTATTGATTTGGTTATATTATAGGGTTTCAGAGATTAAAGTGATAATTCCCTGGGGACCTGCTTTTGTGCTAAAATGGAACTTGTAAATAATGTTATGAACAAATGTCTTGTAATACAACATCTGTGATGATGTACTGACATGAAGGATAAAAGAAATTACATTTAGCTCCTTGTCAGCAGAACTAGTATTTTTGCCTTTGTACTACTTTCTTTGATCCCACTTACTAAAGATGGCATCTAGACTTCTATTGTAAACATATACACTTGCATGTAATGTAAACATGTAAAAATAAGATAGCTGCTGCTGCTTAAAGCATAGCTGTCACAGGAAGCACCTGATGAGGAATCAGTGTCACCTTTGTGGTGTTAGGGTTGACTTGAAGTAGTTTTGTGCTCATGTACTATTTCTTGATTTCTGCAAACAGAAACATCATGACGACTGAAAAGGGTTTAACAGCAGAGGCTGAAACCCCAAAGCAGCCTCCATCAAAAGAAGAGGAGGTAGCTGCACAAAAGGGAACACAGGAACCTTCCTTGGAGAAAGTACCTGAGGGCGATAATCAATCAAAGAAGAAGCAAAAAGCGTCCAATGGTGACACACCTACACGAGAGGATCAGAGCAAGAACAAAGAGCGTACATCTGAAAGTCGGGGCCTGTCACGCCTGTTTTCATCATTCCTCAAGAGACCCAAATCTCAGGTCTCCGAGGAAGAAGGTAACGAGGCAGAAACAAAGGAACATGGTGAAGGGGAGCAGAAAGAAGTAGATATAGGTATTGATCTCAATGAAGAGATTCTGCTGAAAGCTCCAATAGCAGCTCCTGAACCCGAACTCAAGACTGATCCATCTTTAGATCTTCATTCACTTAGCAGCGCAGAAACACAGGTAAATATGACACAAGCTAGTTTTCTTATTTGCTTAACAAATTAAGAAGATTTTTGCCCAGATCTGTGTATGTACATATGTTTATATCTGTGTATCTGTGTTATTTGTGCAGGTATTCACAGGTAAGTTAAGTGAAACTGCAGCCATGATACTGTGCTGTGGGATTTTATTATAGATATTTTAATAGATAACACTTTCACCATTTTAATTCATTTTTAAATAAATATTTTCATTGTATTTTTTCTACTTTTCTATCCGTTGCAACCAGAGTGATTTATTACAATATATTCCATTCGTTTCATCTTGTCTTATACTCTCTAGCATAATATTAATCTAATCAGTTCTACTTAAATCAGTGTATTTCATCTAGGTATAAAGAGGTTCCCATTTATTATTATCCAGTCTGTCATTTAGTGTATCTGTCAAAATATCCATTTCTGCTAGTTCCAAAATCTTCTCAATAAATTCCTTCTTTGTCGGCACCTTTGTTGTCTTCCACTTGCATATACAATTCTAGCTGCCATTATGAGGTGTATGGTCAAGCAAGTCTTGCTTTTTTCGAGTGTAGCTGGTAATATATTCAATAAGACAGTGATCCCCAACCTTGGGCCTCCAGATGTTCTTGAACTGCAACTCCCAGAAGCCTTCACCACCACCTCTGCTGGCCAGGATTTCTGGGAGTTGAAGTCCAAGAACATCTGGAGGCCCAAGGTTGGAGACCACTGCAATAAGAAGCTTTCTGGTGTCAAAGCAATTTTAACCCCTAAAATTTTCTCTCTTCATGAATCATTTTCCAAAAGTCCTTGGCCTTATTACACGTCCACCACATATGATAGAAGCTCCCTACATTCTTTTCACATTTCCGGCACTTATTAAAAACATTTTTATGCAATTTTGTTAATTTCTCTGGTGTTACATACCATCTATAAAGCATTTTGCATATATTTTGTTTTAGATTTATAGATTTAGTCATTTTAATAGTTTATCCCAAATTTGTGACCAGGCACTTAATTCTGTGTTATGTCCTGTATTTTGAGCCCACTTTACCATGCAATTCTTCACAATTTCATCTTCCATTTTTTGCTCCATTAAAATACGTATTATATAAACCTTTAATCAATTTTTCATCTGAATCCAGCAACCCCTTATCCAAAGGTATTTTATCTTTCTGAAAACCTATAGCTTTATCTTTTACATATCTTGGTTTCAACAAGTTTATCGACCAGCAGTCTAAAATAATACCTTGTTCTGCCAGTTCATCTTTGTTTTCTAGATTAAAATCACTATCTAATATCTCGGTATATCTCCCATTTGTCCCTTGAGGTGTTCTTGCAGGATCAGAGAACGCTTCTAATAGAACTACCCATAATGGTATCTTTCTGTAATGTTGTACCTTAACTGTCTTCCAGACCCATAATACAGCTCTCCCGATCAAATGTAAATTAAATGTTTTGCATTGCTTATCATCTTGGTACCATAGGTAGGCATGCCAGCCCAGTCTTAAATCATACCCCTCAATTTTTAAAAGTCTCCAATTTTGCAGAATAATCCATTCCCTCACCCAGGACAGAGCTACTGCTCTGTAATAATTCATCCAATCTGGTAGGCCAAGCCCTTCTCTTTGTTTATTGTCCTGAAGAGCCTTAAGTTTTATTCCTGTTTTTTCCCATCCCAAACAAACTTGGTCATTATCTTATTCAGTTCTTTTAAAAAATCTTGTTTTAATAATACAGTGGTACCTTGCTAGGTGACGACCCTACTATACGATGAATCCGCAGGACAGTGACTTTTTGCAATCGCTATAGCGATTCGCAAAACAGTCATTCCCAAGGGGGAATTCCGCTGGTCAATTAGGTCCGTGCTTCGCAGACCGGTTATTCGCAAGACGACAATCTTTACAGCTGATCATCAGGTTCCTAAAATGGCTGCCCTGTGTTTTCTGGACTCATGCTTCGCAGGGCAGCCATTTTAACAGCTGATCGGCGCTTGGAAAATGGCTTCCCCTATGGCAATGTTCGCTGGACGACAAGGTAATTTCCCCATTGGAACACATTAAATGGGTTTCACTGCATTCCAATGGGGAAATATTTTTCGCATGACGACGATTTCGCTTAACAGCAATTTTCCTGGAATGGATTATTGTCGGCATGCGGGGCACCACTTTATGGGAATTGTCTGAAAGAGGAAAACGAGCTTTGGTAGGTGTTCATTCTCCAAATCAATATTATGTTTTGTATATTCAGTTGTGAAATAACTGGACTATGATCAGTATGTATTCACATCTTGGTAGTATATCTATGGTCTTTGTCACTTTTATCCAGTTTATTGGAATCCAGCATGCATCTATTCTAGACCATGTCTTATGCGAATTTGAGTAGAATGTATAATCTTTTTCTTTTATGTGATGCTTCTCCATGCATCTACCAGATGAAACTCTTCTGCTATAGACTGGAAGGTTTTTGATAATATAGTCCTTTTTTCTCCACCATTTTAATTCAAATCAGAGCAGAGATAAGAGGGTCAGTAGTGTAAAAATTATGCTTATGGGAAATGCAAGATTGGACTTGCCTCTGTTCATACTTTTTTCAATAATTTTTTAATCCTCTGCTTCATTTCAGATATCTCAAATCCAGCATTTCAACATGTATTATGGAATTTCATACTTCCTCCTGTCTTCAGTTTCATCCTTTTACCCTCCTTGCAACTATTACTAAATATTGCCTCCAACCCAGGCTTAGCAAAATCCATTCAAACTGTGGTCTTTACTTTAATCTGGAACTCATATAATGTGTGGTTAGAGGAAAATCAAGACTTGAAGGAGGCTAGCGTGTGAACTGAGTGCAATTGTACGGTAGTTGGAGCATTCTTTGGCACTGCCCTTCTTTAGGATTGGGATGTAGACTGATCTTTTCCAATCCTCTGGCCACTGCTGAGTTTTCCAAACTTGCTGCATATTGAGTGTAGCACTTTAGCAGCATTGTCTGCGTTGTCTGGGACATCCAGATATTTCTGGTATAATTCCTCTGTGTATTCTTGCCACCTCTTCTTGATGTCTTCTGCTTCTGTTAGGTCCCTACCATTTTTGTCCTTTATCATGTCCATCTTTGCACAAAATGTTTCTTTAACATCTACAATTTTCTTGAACAGATCTCTTTTCCCCCCCTTTCTATTATTTTCCTCTTTTTCTTTGCACTGTTCATTTAAGAAGGCCCTCTTGTCTATTCTTGCTATTCTTTGGAAGTCTGCATTCAGTTTTCTGTAACTTTCCCTATCTCCCTTGCATTTTTCCCTTCTCCTCTCTACTATTTGTAAGGCCTCATTGGACGGCCACTTTGCTTTCTTGCATTTCCTTTTCTTTGGGATGGTTTTTGTTGCTGCCTCCTGTACAATGTTACGAGCCTCCAGCTATGGTTCTTCGGGGACTCTGTCCACCTAATCACATTCCTTAAATCTATTCTTCACTTCCACCGTGTATTCATAAGGGATTTGGTTTAGATTATACCTGACTAAAGGTAAAGGTAAAGGTTCCCCTTGACAATTTTTGTCCAGTCGTGTTCGACTCTAGGGGGCGGTGCTCATCCCCGTTTCCAAGCCATAGAGCCAGCGTTTGTAGACAGTTTCCATGGTCACGTGGGCAGTGCGACTTAGACATGGAATGCTGTTACCTTCCCACCGAGGTGGTCCCTATTTATCTACTTGCATTTGCATGCTTTCGAACCGCTAGGTAGGCGGGAGCTGGGACAAGCGACGGGCGCTCACTCCGTCACGTGGATTCAATCTGCTTGGTCTTCTGACCCTGCAGCACAGGCTTCTGCGGTTTAGCCCGCAGCGACTAGCCCAGTGTTTTTTCCTACTTTCTTCAGTTTAATATTGAGTTTTGCTATAAGAAGCTAATGATCAGAGCCACAATCAGCTCCAAGTCTTGTTTTTGCTGACTGTATAGAGCTTCTCCATGTTTGGCTACAGAGAATATAATCAATCTGATTTCGGTATTGCCCATCTGGTGATGTCCATGTGTAGAGTCACCTCTTGTGTTGTTGGAAAAGAGTGTGATGACCAGCTTATTCTCTTGGCAAAACTGTATTAGCCTTTGCCCTGCTTCGTTTTGAACTCCAAGTCTAAACTTACCTGTTGTTCCTTTTATCTCTTGACTCCCTACTTTAGCATTCCAATCCCCTAGAATGAGAAGAACATCTTTCTTTGGTGTCAGTTCTAGAAGGTGTTGTAAGTCTTCATAGAATTGATCAGTTTCAGCCTCTTCAGTATTGGTGGTTGGTGCATAAATTTGGATGACTGATGTTGAATGTTCTGCCTTGGATTTGTATTGAAATTATTCTATCATTTTTGAGATTATATCCCGGTACAGCTTTTCCCACTCTTTTGTTGACTATGAGGGCTACTCCATTTCTTCTGTAGGATTCGTGTTCACAGCAGTAGATATGATAATCGTCTGAATTGAATTCGCCCCTTTCCGTCCATTTTAGTTCACTGATGCCAAGGATGTCAATGTTTATTCTTGCCATCTCCTGTTTGACCACATCCAGCTTCCCAAGGTTCATAGATCTTACATTCAAGGTCCCTATGCAGTATTTTTCTTTGCAGTATCGGACTTTCCTTTCACTTCCTGGCACGTCCACAGCTGAGCATCCTTTCACCTTTGGCCCAACCACTTCATTAGCTCTGGGGCTACTTGTACTTGTCCTCCGCTCATTCTTAGCTTCACAAAATACCCATTATTATCAAACAGTAGGCAGTGAACTTATAGTATTTTACCAGTTTGACGAATGAGTGGAGTTTTAATCTACTGTGAGAAGTTGGTTGGTTGCGCAGCCAACCTTATTCCATGCACTTTTGCGAAAGCTGACAACCTAGACAAATGTTATAGCACTAATATTATTTCTGACTTTGTTTTCATTCTGTACTCAAAAAATGGCATAACTGTAGATGATTCAGGCTTTTATCCTGATGTTCCATGTTTGGTTTAAAATTTGGTCACAGGATGTCTGTGTGTGTGTGTGTGTGTGTGCGTGTGCTTGTGCCTCTCTGTGTGTGTGTGTATTCTAAGAATCACTCTGAGACTCATTCTTCCAACTGTTAAAATAAAATGAATTAGATATTTCCAAGCAGTATAGAATCTTGTTCATTAAAAGTACTTGATACCATGAGCCATTTCATGTTCAGACTTCATAAAACCATTAATGTGCAAAATATTGTACAAATCTAGTACTCCTGACTGTTAATTGCTATAAAATAATACATTGCTTTTTTAAAATAAAGAACTAAAATGTGTTAACCTATGATTTAAGCCTGCTCAAGAAGATAGGAGAGAAGATCAAGATCCAGAGAATAGAGACCTTGAAGCTAAGGAAGAAGAAGAGCAAGTGGAGGAGTGTGCCAACACAGAGGAAAAAAAAGAAAGCTCCAGGGCAAAGACAGACAAAGAAGTAAAAGGTGGTCAAAAAGCAGTAAAAAGACCAAGAAACAGCATGCATTGCAAGATTACTTTGCTGGATGACACAATTTTTGAGTGTTCTGTAGATGTAAGTATAATGTTTTCCCTAATACTGTATAACTAAACGTTCTCTTTCTGTGGTTATCTTTTCTTTCCATTCTTCTGTCTTCTTTTTTCCTGACATGGGTATAGAGAAGGAAGGTAGAATGGGACTGTCCCAAACTTGGGATACGGTGACAGAATCATGGCTTACTATCTAAGACTGTCCATCACTTCACTCACTATATTTAGGTTATGGTCCTCTAAATTGACCAAAGAGCTATGCTCTTTTGGGCTAGGAATACCTGACTTCTCATGAAGAATTTTTCCTCCTGCTTTATTGTCACCAAGGGTCCTTTGGGGAGGAACTAAGATTTACTGCTAAGCTTTACTGATAGGACCATATTTAAAATTTTCTGGGGTGCTTAATGTAAGAAGTCTTCCAAGAGATGTTAGAACTGTACTTCCCAAATGACAGAAACAACATACTTTATATGTATTATCTTATTTTTTCCCATTTATTCAGCTACCGAATGTATTTCAGGTACCCATCATACTAGGTACAAGGCACTACTGTGCTTATTGTCCTTTTCAAACCAACTATTGAAAATTTATTACTGATAAAAATATAAGCTGTTATACCATTGTGGCATGCCAGTTTTCTGCTTTTTTCCTCTGTTGTACAGCCATTGTATACGGTAGGATGCAGTAAAAGCATACAGTGGAGTTTTCCAGGGCAAAATTAAATGTTAATTTGAAAACATGTTTCTGTTGCCTCTCTAGATCTTATTAAAATACTAATCTCACTATTTAACATTAACAGTGGGAGAATATACAGTATCCTTCAGTAAACATAGTTTTAGCATAAACTGCACAGACATGGAAGTGCAGAGAAAATACTGAGAATAGCAGTATTTAGATTCTTAGCCAGTCTGATTTCAGGATGGTCACTATCATTTTCTGGAAGATTATAAAAGGCTAAAGTGGAGTTATAAAAACTTTATTTCCATTTCCATGCTTGAAAATATAGTAAACATGCTTTTTCAGCATTTTCCTTATCTCAAATTATTTTCTGCATCTCAACTACTGTGGTTGAATCTGGGTGCAAAAATGTATCCTCACTGGGTTTTCATTGATGCTTGAGCAATATAGTTCCATTACTTTATCTTTTACAAATTGGACCACAAATCTGTCTCCAACATTATTGGAGCTATCAGCTAATATTAGTATAGCATTGAGAGCCTTGTGGCGCAGTGGTTAAACTGCTGTACTACAGCCAAAACTGTGCTTCTATCCTTCCGAGGTTGGTAAAATGAGTACCCAGCTTGCTGGGGGGCAATGTGTAGCCTGCATAATTAACTTGTAAACCCCCCAGAGAGTGCTTGAAGCACTATGGTGCGGTATATAAGCAGCACGCTTTGCTTTGCTTTGCATTGACTTCACATATATGGTGTACTGTTTTAGAAATGTTTACATTCTTATTGTGTGTGCAGAACACTGAACTGGTTTTGGTCCATTATAGTAAGAGTTTTTGTTTTTCATCTGCAAAGAAACCATATGTCAGTGGTAGAACACATGCTCACCATGTATATTTCCTAATATTTTTAATTAGAAGATCCAGGATGAAATCCCGATGAACAGCTGTAATCAGAATAATCAATTTTGTTACAGTATAAATCAGTTCTTCATGCTGTTTTGTTTGTTGCCATTTTTGGAGGGTGGAATGCTTAAGTATGGAAGTCTTGCCAAAAGAGAGGAAGGTAAAAGGGAGGACTTCTTTTATGCATCTAGGGTTCATGGGGTGTTCCTATGCTGATTTATATGTGTGAGGCTTCCAGGAAAAGTGTTGATTGGGCTTTTAACCAACCCCTGTGTACAAAGATCTGAAAAAAATGCAAATCCCAAACAAGTTATAATGCATTTGGTGGTGGTTGTGTTTGCTGAACTGATTCTTCACCACCAAGTATTTCTTAATTACTTGCCTCATGGCACAGTGGTTAAACTGCTGTACTGCAGCCAAAACTGTGCTTACGACCTGGGGTTCAATCCCAGGTAGCCAGCTCAAGGTTGACTCAGCCTTCTATCCTTCCAAGGTTGGTAAAATGAGTACCCAGCTCACTGGGGGGGGGGAATGTGTAGCCTGCATAATTAACTTATAAACCGCCCAGAGAGTGCTTGAAGCACTATGGGGTGGTATATAAGCAGCACGCTTTGCTTTAATTTCCTGTCTCATCAAACAAAGATAAATGGATATTTCTGGCAAAATGTATTAAGAAGTTAACACTAGGTTTCCATTACTTTTTGATTTCATAAGTAAAGTTTGTGTATAAAATACATATAATTGTATGAGAATTAGCAGTGCTTAAGCATCTTCTCCAAATCATTCTGTCAGTTTTACTGCTCTTTCTGTCAGGAACTCAGTCTAGAACTAAGGCTTGTAAATGGGAGATTTGTAGGAAGTATTCCCTACCAACATGTGCTCTGTCATTTGCTTTATCATGGCAAACATAGTCTGAAGAACCTGTATTTGCCAAGGTAAAACCAAGCAATTTGGAAAGATTCTGCTGAGCAGTCTGAGTCCTCTTTAATCCTGTAGCGTTTAAGGGAATCATCCTGATGAAAATATCTGTATAAAAATTATTGATATTAATTGTCTTTTATAATGCCAAGATTTCTTAAAATAATTGTAAATAGATTGGAAACAAAGTATATTCAGTTTGTCTGTATTTTTGTTTGTAGAAACATGCTAAAGGGCAGGATCTTCTAAAGAAAGTTTGTGATCACCTCAATCTTTTGGAAGAAGACTACTTCGGACTTGCCATATGGGACACTCCAAACTCAAAGGTAGAAAGAAAAGGGGAAAAAGTTTTTTTTAAGAATAAGCCTGCGTTGTTGTTGTTGTTTAGTCGTTAAGTCATGACTCTTCATGGCTCCATGAACCAGAGCACACCAGGCCCTCCTGTGTTCCACTGCCTCCCGGAGTTTGGTCAGATTCATGTTCGTAGCTTCGGTGACATTGTCCAGCCATCTCGTCCTCTGTCATCCCCTTCTCTTGCCTTCACATTTTCCCAACATCAGGGGCTTTTCCAGGGAGTCTTCTCTTCTCATGAGATGGCCAAAGTATTGGAGCCTCAGCTTCAGGATCTATCCTTCCAGTGAGCACTCAGGATTGATTTCCTTCAAAATGGATAGGTTTGTTCTCTTTGCAGTCCAGGGGACTCTCAAGAGCCTCCTCCAGCACCACAATTCTAAAGCATCAGTTCTTTGGAGGTGAGCCTTCTTTATGGTCCAGCTCTCACTTCCATACATCGCTACTGGAAAAGGATGCTGTCTAGGTTTGCCATCGCTTTTGTCCCAAGAAGCAGGCATCTTATAATTTCATGGCTGCTATCACCATCTGCAGTGATCATGGAGCCCAAGAAAATAAAATCTGTCACTGCCTCCATATCTTCCCCTTCTATTTGCCAGGAGGTGATGGGAGCTACTTGTATGTGTCCTCTGCTCTTCCTCAGTAGCATGTTGGACGCCTTGTGATCTGAGGGGCTCATCTTCCAGCATCATATCTTTTAGCCTTTTGTTTCTGTTCATGGGGTATTCTTGGCAAAGATACTGGAGTGGCTTGCCAGTTCCTCCTCCAGTTGTATCGCATTTAGGTAGAACTCTCCACTATGACCTGTCCGTCTTGGTGTCCCTGCACGGCATAGCCCAAAGCTTCTCTGAATTATCCAAGCCCCTTCTCCATGACAAGGCAGCAATCCATGAAGGGTTCTAAACTGATTAAGTATTGCTAAAAGTTTGCAGAAATTGTCTCTTTGATGGAAGGTATTAGTTTGGAAAAACTGTATACTATTATAGGCTTCATTTACAGATCAGTACTGTGCATGACATTTCAATGTTATTTCTGACTTCCCTTCTTATAATGTCACCTTTTTTGTTTGCTTTAGTTTAATGAAATGCACTTTTGAGGAGCAGTTTTGTAATGGAAGCTCTTCGCTCATTATGCCTGTGCATCAGAAATTAATGTTATTTGAAATTTTTTATTTGGTCATTGTGGGAAGATAGATTTAAAAATGGCTGCTCCGTGTGCATTTAATTACTGAGTGAAAACAGTAGAAGGAAGGAGATATTTTGGGATGTGAGTGAGGCACACAGAGCACTTGTAGTTTCCTTTTGATGAATACATCTGAAGGGACCAATTAAAACATATGTATGATCATTTTGCGGGGATTTTAAAAGTTATTGATAGTTTATGTAACATTTATGTTTCTAAAAGGATTTCTTGGCAAAACATGTTGAAATTTGCTTAGGTGCGTAGAAGTAAATTTTGCCTGAGACCCAAGGCATATGCATAAATGAGTCAATGGGTATCATGTTTTCTGAACTTGCAAAATAAATGTTGAGGTAAAAGTATAAATGTCCATGTACTGCTGGATCTTAGGTTGATTTCTACACTCTGATCATATTTAATAAACATAATCCTCTCTTAGAACTGCAGAGCTGGAAGGGACCCTATGGATCATTAAGCCGACCCCTGTTCCAGTGGGAAATTGAACTATCATCCTCTGGTTCTGCAGCCAGACAGCTGAGCTATCAAGTAGTTCATAGAGTATATACTCTTATCTTCATTGTTAACATGTGCCTTTTTCATTGAGTCATTATTTGTTTTGTCACATTCTTATGAGTTGTTGATGACTCTATCACTTCCTTGGGTGGGTTGTGTTGGGCTCACTCTGGTGCATCCATCCAGGTACCTTCTTTTTTCTTTTCCGTTTCCTTTTGTCTCCCCCTTCTAACCTCTGGACCACCGTCCTCTCTTCTAGATACTTTGGACTGTGCCTCTCCTTCTTGGCTTTCAGTCCTTTCTGAAAGGTTCACTGCCTTCTGAATCTTCTAGACAGGTCCCTTTTCCTTTTCCCTTTTTCTTGGGGATTCTGACAGGATTGGTAACTCCACAGGTGTTAGTGTGGCCTCATTCCAGTGGTAGTGTGTTCCAAGAGAAATCCCGTGGGGATGGCCTGACAGCAGATCTTTCTGGGACCCCCTCACACCAGCACAAAGCAAATGTTAAATTGAATATCAGTTAAGCAAAAAGTTTATTTAGAATTTCATGCTTCACTATGAAATTTGTTTCTCACCAATTTGTGACATGTCAGGATAAAAGCATTGTTATTTGTTCAGTCTCCTCATTGTCTTTCAGATAAGTCAAATGGGATGTGGTCTGAGAACACATGATTGCATTCACAGCCAATAAGGATGTGTTTGGATGGTTCCTTTCACTATGGAAAACTTATACTTGCAATGTCAGCATATATGTATTTTTTTAAACTGCTTGACTTGCAGAATTAAAGATCTGCGGCAGTTAATGTGGGTGGCCTTTTGTGTCCAGCTGCATGGATTATGTAGCTCTAGATCAGTGGTTCCCAACGTTAGGTAACACAGGTTTTCTTGCACTGCAGTTCCCAGAAACCTTCTGGCCAGGGTTTTTGGGCATTGCAGTCCAAGAACACCTTGTTTACTTAATGGTGGGAACCAGTGATCTAGATCAGTCTAGTAGAATGCTGTTGGTAGGCATCTTAAAGTTGTTAATAAATCAAATAAATAAATAAATAATAAATAAATAAATATTAAACCTAACTAGCTGGACCAATAACATGTAGAGCAAAATGTTGTGTAGGCTAAGAAAGATGAGCTTAAGAGGCTCAATGGGATAAGTGGGCTATTCTTTCACCTTAGTAGACCTGGTTTCTAAATCCTGCTTAAGTCACATGAATACAAACCAGGTAACCTCATTTTGTATCCTGTACACAGCTTTGATAAATGATTGCGCAAAACAAACAAACAAATAAATGCAAAAGCAATATCTTGGTTTTGTGCAGAATGAATTTGAGGATTGTAGTACAGTCCATCAAAATGTACAAGTCTATTGGTTTGTGTGACTGATATGCACAGAAAAGTTCTTCTTTGGAGTTTATCTGTTACCTTGCACTTTATTACATGAGAGAAAATTCAGCTGAAATCTGTAGCACTTATTTTAAAATTCAGTAGAAATTATACTGTCTGTATCTCTTCTTCTTTCAGATTTTATTAGGTGAACTCATTATAGGTGGAGAAAACAAAATTGAACTGTTTTCAAAGACAGCAATTGAAATAACATTTGCAAGTTTTAGGTTCTAATTTGAACAGCCTTATTGCTTGGAGGAGCCATATATACTGTTCTAGATGTAAATGCTAAAATGCCCTGTTGAAACATGATCAGTGAATTTTCATTTTGAGTAAATACGCTTAGGATGGCAGCAAATGCAATACTAGAGCTGTTGGGAAACTCTTAATTGTTAGAATTTCAGTGGGCAGAGAAGAAATATTTAATTGTTTTTTCCTTGCTGTGGTCCTGATGAAAACCAGTCCTTTCTAATTTGTATTTGCTTTGGGAGAAATTTTCTCATAGGTGCCAATAGGGGCTTTCCTTCCAATGAAATAACAACTTCAGAAGAGTGTTCCCCCGGCCCCACCTAACACCACAGAAGGAAAGGCCTTTGTATTGTACTCCCAATAATTATTGGTCCTGGGCAAAGGCATGTTTCAAAACAAAAAGATGTACAGTACTTTGAAATACAAAGATACCTTTAAAGTCAAATTATTTGACTTTAGTTTATAGCTTTTTCTTAAGTGAAAGACAGCAAAAAAATGCAATAAATAAAAGCTTAAGCTTAAAGCTCAAAAAGCCTGATTTCAGTTACAGTGGTGCCTCACTTAGCAATGTTAATTCGTTCCGAAAAAATCGCTGCTAAGCGATTTCATCGCTAAGCAAAATGCGGTTTCCCATTGAAATGCATTGAAAACCGGATAATCCATTCCAATAGGAACGAATTGCCGTCCTTCAGCGAAAATCGCCATAGGAAACATCGCTAAATGAAACGCGCTTCCCCAATTGAAATGCATTGAAAACTATTCAGTGCATCTCAATGGGGGAAAAAATACAACAACAAATTAAAAGAGTCAGAGCAAAGTCAAATTTGGTTAACAAAGGGTTTATTAAGTGCACTTTATGATTTCAAACATTTTAAACAGTAAACGTTAACTTTATAAATAACAGAAAAACATTTTAAAAACAGCAAACATGAGGCTGTTTAAACCATCATTAAGCGAAACAGGGGACCCAAAATTTAATTGCTATGCGATGCATGGTCCCAACCATCGGTAAGCAAAAATCGCCCATAGGGACCATCGCTAAACATAGCTCAAAAACGCTCTGAAAAAGTAGTCGCTAAGTGATTTCCTCGCTAAACGGAGCACCCGTTAAGCGAGGCACCACTGTATTTAGTTGTATGATGTAACTTGAGTTTATTTACACAAGAGTGCACATGCTACCTCTGTATATCATTGGTACAGATTAAAATAACCCAGTTGGCATCCAGTAATTACTCCAGTTTAACGCAGTGACACATATTTTCATTTAACATTCTTTGTAACACTTTTCAAACTTTCTAAGAACTAGTTTGTACAATTTTCTTACAGACATGGCTGGATGCTGCCAAAGAAATAAAGAAACAAGTTCATGGTAAGTAGGTCAAGTTTTTTTGTTGTTGTGTTTTTATTTTCCTGTTTGAAAGTGCAGATATTTATAGCTTTGTCATTCAATCTCTAGAGTTCACTTAAGGATAGTGGAAGAAATCAGCTCATCATGTGATCTCTCTGTTTTGAAGTTTATCATGTACTGTGTTTTGTGTTCCTAGGAAAACTATTTCTTCCATTCATTGCTATTAATAACTTCAATACCACTTTAAAATATTGAATTATTTCATTTTAAGGATAACCATACTGCTGTATGTTGGGATGGGCAGAGTGTGACCATGGGCCACCTGTGGTTCTTGGAGAGCCCAAATATGCCTTCCCAGTACCTCCAGAGCTGATCTTCTCTACACACTGCAAAATTAAGTTTATTTTTTTTTAAATGCCTTTTTTCCATGTCCTGGGGTTGCAGAATCCTCAGTCCCCTATACTCGTCTAATTTTTCTAAAAAATGTTTTAGGATAATTATTAGAGGATATGAGTGGTACCTTTCCATTAAAAAAACTTTTTGTGAAATCATAACATCTGTAATGTGGTTCCCCAAGGATGAGGACTGGGTATATTCAGCCTTGGACCCCTGGAAGCTACCACTCCTGATGTATAAGTGGATTTTTATACCAATTATTCAGAAGACAAAGTTGCTGGGTTCATGTTTGTTTATTTTTATTTATATGCCATTTTTCTCCCTGTAGAGTATCCATGGTGGTTCACAACAATTAAAACTATGCAATGATAGTTTTAAAAATACTATAAAACTCCATTAAAAATAATTTCTCAATATTAAAACCAAGGATTAAAACACTGTCAAAACATTTCAAGTCCTCTAAATTTAATAAATACGGCATTCTGGAGACCTCCACTAGAACAGGCTTGGTCAACTTTTGCAGATCAGTGTTTTCTGCCCTTGGACTAGGTCTCCCTAACAGCTGCACAAACTAGCAAAAGTCCTTTTAAAAACCCACAAGCAAACAAAAGAAAGAAAGAAAGAAAGAGGAGGTGACTTAAAGTCCCAGTTGTTATTTCTTAGGCATTTGTCTGTGGAGTGTCTTCTCTTCCAGAAAGAAGAGACAGCAAAGATAACAAAGGAGGAGCTGAGGACAGTGAAAAGAAATCTCTGTAGGACTAGTTGCCTGAGGTAGATGTGGGCCAGATATCTCTGTCCCAGCCAACCAAATATGCTGTTCATTGTTTTGTAATAGAGAGATAGGGGAAAGGAGGTAGTAATGGCTAGACAGGTCAGTTGTAAGAAAGGAGAAGGGAAGTATTCTAGCATTTGATTTCATAGTATGCTCAGTCTAGGCACATACTTTATATGAGATAAGCTAAAAATGCTATAAATACATCTTCGTTTTGTTTTTGCATTTTATCTGTAGTTTTTGCATATAACCTTTGGTTGTGTAAAATCATGCTGTATATTATAAACTGAAAAATAAAAGCATTGATAGAATACCACCTTGCTGGAGATTAAAAATCTCTTTGCAGCACTATAGGTCTATGGAACTTGGATCTTTTAAAAAGCTATTTTTACTTATATGAGAAGGCCAAAATAGTATATTAACAGGAGGTATTTTCCTTGACCACATTTTTAATCTCAGTGCATTTAATAACAAATGTAAACATTAAGTGATCAAGTTTCAGTTGTACCAAAATGTGCATGGAGAGGCACAATGGATATGCATGCTGCTGAAAGCGGTGGTTTTAGGATAGTGTCAATAAAAAATATCAAGCACTGACTGCAGATGAATTGAGAACTACACATCTGAGCTGCTACATGACGGAAAGTATTTGGGATATGTTACTATTTGTCTTAATTTTGGTATTCCTATAAATCAAAATCTTGTTGGGCCATAATCCTGTGTCTTTATTTTTAATTTGTGGTTTTTATATTGAGGGAAAAACATAGACCAGGAGGAGGAGATCAAGTAAGCCAATAGACACTAGCCTAAATTACCTAATACCATGTTTTCCCAAAAATAAGACCTAACCTGAAAATAAACTCCAGTAGGATTTTTCAGGATGCTTGTAATATAAGCCCTGCCCCAAAAATAAGCCCTAGTTAAGTGAAAGCCCACCCTCCACCATTGTGCAGCAACTAGAAGATGATGACATGACTGTATTTGAATAAATGTAGATGGTTGTACATGAAAAAAAAACATCCCCTCAAAATAAGCCCTAATATGTTTTTGGAGCAAAATTTACTATCCTTGTCTTATTTTCAGGGAAACACAGTACCTCTTACAACATATACTTGAAAGCAGTGGTATAAAGCAGTGGGGATGGATGGGTGTGATCTTCTCGTTGGTGGTCTCAATTTCCCGTCAATTCTAGATAGCACAGCAAATGAAGAGGGATCATGGGAGTTGTAGTCCATCAACTTCTAGGGTGCTACAGGCCCATTTATACTGTAAAATGAAGACTCACAGCAAATCTGTTTTTAATTTCAGGAGGCTCATGGAATTTCACTTTTAATGTCAAGTTTTATCCTCCGGACCCAGCACAACTGACAGAGGATATAACAAGGTTTGTCATGTCTTTCTAACAATTGATACTTGTATTTTTGAAAGGGTCATGAGAGCAACCTTTAAGTGTAACATCATAAATAAGAAACTATAGACAAATGAGAACTTGTTACATACCTGTTTAGATGCAAGTATGTTTAAATTGTTTATTACACACCAGTCAGCGGACATCAATCCCAGAGAAAATTCTGGAGCTGATTATAAAGTGTATGATTATGATTTTTTTGAGTGATCATCTGTGTAAACAGATGTTTCCAGACAGGGCTTTTCAGTTTTTTTAAAACATTACCAAGTGAGGAGATTCCAGAGGTAGAAATGGGGATTTTAAAATCAACTTTTACCAAATGTTTTGAAGGTGTTCTGTAGGGATGTATGTTGTCTGCCTTAGTTTAAAGGAAGAAGTTTAGTTGGGTGCACACAAGTTCTTAAGCATGCCTTGGTTTTATTGTCATATTCTGGCTTCAGTTTTAACTATTTTGTTTTGTTTTATTAATGCCTGAAATGCTGAACATATGTTTTTGAATATTTGGTATTGGCTACTTAACATATTAGCATATGAGGTATACAGTATAATTGCTGTCCCACAGGGAGATATAGGTGGTATATTGTGGACTAGATCCAAACAAATCCAAAAATAAACAGAAATATAACACCACCAGCTCAATCCCACCCTGCATAAGAAAAAAAAAACGTGGCAGTGTAAAAAGAGGCAACGCATCCTGAAGGTGGACCTCTGTTTGGGGAAAACAAACAAGGGGGACGCGACACATATGTTTTTGAATCTTTGGTATTGGCTACTTCACATATTAGCATATGAGGCATACAGTATAATTGCTGTTCCACAAGGAATAGAGGAAAATGTGCTCAAGTCATAATCACAGAGCAGCAGGTGGCTCCGTGTCTATTTGTACAGGTGGACACATCTACATCCCTTTCTCCATTTTATTGGACATAGCTTTGTGCTCACTATACATGCTCTGTGCCCCTTTTTTATGTCAGAGAGTTATTTTTTTAGCTACCAGTTCCTCTGTGGTAAATAATAAAAGAAAAAAGAGAAGTGAGAATTATGCTACATAAAAATAATCAAGATACAGTATTCCAGATTATTTACAATTTCATCACAGTATGATTGAAACAATAGTTAATCTAATCAAAGTTCTCTGTTCATTTGTCCTAAACCAGTTTCCAGTGAAAGGAAAGTATAATTAAGACAACTGCTAATGGAGAGGTTGTTCTTAATAATAAGGGACTTGATTGCAGTTCCAGGTGTTTATGGAGAAAGTTATTCTGTCATTAGACCTTTGAAGTCCCTGTTTTGTGCTTTTTCCCCCCTGTCCTCTACAGGTATTACTTATGTCTTCAGCTGAGAAAAGACATAATCAGTGGGCGGCTTCCTTGCTCTTTTGCTACGTTGGCTTTGCTTGGTTCCTACACAATCCAGTCTGAGCTTGGAGACTATGATCCAGATCTACATAGTGCAGATTATGTCACTGAATTCAAGTTAGCCCCAAACCAGACAAAGGAACTGGAAGACAAGGTCATGGAACTACACAAAACATACAGGTGACTGTAATATTTGTCAATGATAAAGTAAAGAATATAGTATATTCTCAATAGAAGTGGTCTGTGTAATGGAAAAATATGGTCATTTGTATTGGAGGTATAAAACTCCACTGCCTAGTAAGCAATGGCAGATAAAAATCTGAGCACGGTGACTACCTTTGGGATTACCACAGGTTTCAGGAGGCAGTTGTCTCCTGAGCTTTGCAAAAACAGTTTCTAAAAAGGTATCCTTGCTGATTTATCCATTCATGTTTGATGACTTATAAGTCTGTTGAACAGTCAGATACAATGCAAGTTTGTTGAATAAATCAGAATAGCCTCAAGGGATATACAGAAAATAATATGCTGCATAAAAAAAGCTGCACTGTAAAAATGACACAATGAATTTGATAGTTGTTGGAGAATATGTATTATACATTATATTGAAACATTGATTGGAGGAAAGGGAACAACACCCCATGCTTGTTATAAGAGCTTATCTCTGTGCCTGAAAAATGCAGACGAAAGCAGAGCAAGCCAAGAAACCTATCACAACCATTATTCGTGATATATAGTGGTGTCCTGCATGACGACGATAATCCATTCCAGCAAAATCGCTATAAAGCGAAATCGTCATTGAAATGCACCAGTTAATGCATTCCAATGGGGGAAATACCTGCTCGTTTTGTGAAGATCCTCCATAGGAGAAGCCATTCTCGATCGCCGTCTTCTGGAAATAGGTCCGGAAAACAGCAGGGAGCCATTTTAAAAACCCGACGATCAGCTGTTTCTCATCATTGTGCAGCAAAAAACGGTTCCCGAAGCAGGGAACTAGTCATCGTTAAGTGAAAAAAACCCATAGAAACATTGTTTTGCGATCACTATAGCGATCACTAAAAACTCATCGTTAAGCGATTTTGTCATGAAGGGGGTCATCGTCAAGCGGGACACCACTGTAAGTGACAAATCTAAGGACAAAATCTAAGAAGCCGAACCTAACTTGCTCAGCTAACCAGCCTGATTAACTATATCCAACTCTTTAATGAAAAACATGCTCTCAGATCAAATTCTGCAATAATCGAAAATTTCTCCTTTCTAGTGAGAAGACTTTGTGCCAATTGACTATGGTACTACTGGAGACTTTTTAATACAAAATGTCATGCCTACGATTACAGCATATAAATTTATAAAACAGGAAATGCTTTGAGGGCGTACTATAACATAGCTAGAGAATTATACAAATGACAGCTTTTTTTCATGTTGCTCTACTGTGCTGTGCTATAATTCACCACACTGGTGTAGAGTAGTGTGTAGTTCTTTACAAATAACAGTAACATGGCAAAATATTTTGTTCATAGCAAACAAAGGCATGGAAGCAAACAGAGTTCTAACAAATGGAGAGAAGATCAGATTTGAAAAAAGGGTCTTACACAATGGGAAACCGTTAATGAACAAATAAATATTAGAAAATCAGATATAATGGTGTATCTCCCTCTATATCAAGATCATTTTATTAAAACAGGGCTGGGGAACGTGTGGCTCTCCAGATGTTTTGGAAAAGCAATTCTCATAATCCTTGGACAGTATAGGTGGGGGGGATGGAAGTTCAACAATAACTGGAGCATCACACATTTTCTACCTTGGTCTGTATCTGCCTTTCTAATCCTGGCACTGTCTAGTTGTTGTGGACTAGCTATAGCTACTATGGTAAGTGTTGAGGCTTGAGAAACATACAGTGGAACCTCTAATTATGAGGGCCAAACACACCCCCCCCCCCCCCCAAAATTAAAAATAAAACACTGCAAGCCCCTGGGGCTGCAAAAAACAAAACAAATCCAAAAATAAACAGAAATATAACACCACCAGCTCAATCCCACCCTGCATAAGAAAAAAAAAACTTTAAAAAAGCAGAAAGCAGCACCTTACCTCCATCGCCGTGACCACCGCTGACAGGAGGCCTTTCTCCCCTGCTGCGTGGTTTCTCTGGGAGGCTTTCCCAGGGTTGCCAAGAGGTCTCCTGGGCTCCAGCCGCTGCTCCACCTGGGGAAAGCCTCCGATGGCAGCAGAGAAGCCCTGGCCCGGCAGCGGTGGCTGGAGCCTGGGAGACCTCCTGGCAGCCCCAGGAAAACCTCCCATGGTGGCAGAGAAGCCATGCAGCGGGGGAGAAAGGTGGCGCTTGCAGCAAGCCTCAGGAAAGCCAGCAGTAGCGGCGCTGGAACCCCAGGAGGCTGAGGCCAGCCAGGATGGTCTGGTGGCTTGCCTCCCGGTGGCGGTGGCAGCAGCGGTGGAAGCCCGGGAGACTGAGCCTCCCCTTTCCTAAACGTTGGGGCAAAAAAGCTACAAAGAAGCAGCCTCTCCACCACCAATGGTTAGCAAATTTAAATTTCCCGCCCTTTCCCCCTGCCTTTTTTCGTTCATACAGTATGTTGAAGCTCCGTTTGCAAGTAGAAGCAAAATTCTGCAAACGGAGCTGTTCGTAAGTGGATTGTTCATAGGTAGAGACGTTCGTAAGTAGAGGTTCCACTGTACTGCTAACACTTTGAGGGCACCAGTTTTGTGGTACCTGGTTCAAAACATTGCATTGGTGAAATATCACTTATACTGGGAACTCTGCTATGTGTAGATTTTCATAGGATTTGGGTTTGAATTTCCAACAAGGAATAACAATGGATGCAAAGTTTTCTGACTCAGTCTTAGTGCATGCCTGGAAGTTGAAACCTGTGTAGGCTCTACCACCTGAGCATCCATCCATCCATACCTGTAACACTGTTTGTACCTGTTACGCAAATGGGAAATTTTCAGTGACAAGAATGAAGAGAAAATTAAGATTTCAGATCCATGCCTCTTGGGTAGGACTAGTTTTTAGCAGAACATGTGTGATCCTGGAATTTGTTTCTTGCTAAAAACTTTGAACAGCACATTTGTTCATGGAGAAATGATATGCATGATCCTCAAGAGACAGGCTTAAATGGCAGTTCCTTCTGTTTTTCTAACTAGGTGTGGTTTCATAAGAGGTTTACGTAGATATAATGGTGTATCTCCCTCTATATCAAGATCATTTTATTAAAACAGGGCTGGGGAACGTGTGGCTCTCCAGATGTTTTGGAAAAGCAATTCTCATAATCCTTGGACAGTATAGGTGGGGGGGATGGAAGTTCAACAATAACTGGAGCATCACACATTTTCTACCTTGGTCTGTATCTGCCTTTCTAATCCTGGCACTGTCTAGTTGTTGTGGACTAGCTATAGCTACTATGGTAAGTGTTGAGGCTTGAGAAACATACAGTGGAACCTCTACTTATGAACTTAATCCGTCCCAGACGATGTTCGTTAGTTGAAACGTTCATAAGTAGAAGCTCCATTTCCCATAGGAATGCATTGAAAACTGAGTAATCCG